TGCAATTCTCCATTCAAGAAGGCCGATTTGACGTCAAGCTGGTACACTCGTAACTCAAAGTGTGCTGCAATTGCAAGAGCAGTCCTTATTGTCTCCATTCGAGCCACCGGAGCGAAAGTCTCATTCAAATCGAGACCGGGCTGTTGAGAGTACCCTTTGGCCACCAACCGCGCCTTATGCTTTTGTACGGAGCCATCTTCATTGTACTTGGTCTTGAAGATCCATTTCAAACCAATGACTTATTTGTTGCTCGGCAAGTCTACGAGCTCCCACGTTTTATTCTTTTCAATAACACTAATTTCTTCACCCATTGCTTTAATCCAAACATTTTCCCTTGCTGCCTCTTCAAAGCTTTGTGGCTCGCAACTGAAAAAAGCTATGTCACAAGAATCATAAATATCCTTTAACAATCGAACTTTTCTCACCTGATTTTCAGAGTCTGAGCCTTCCTCGATTATTTGACTAGGGCCTGATTCCCTTTGAGGAGTGCTTGGTGAATCTGGAGTTGCATTTTCTTGTGAATTTTGCGGAGAAGAATCAGCACCTCGAGTTGATAATGGTTCCACAAAATTAGAATTTTCAGCTCGTTGTTGATTTGATTCAACATTCCATTCCCAGGTTGCACTTTCGTCAAAGATAACATCTCTCGAAACCACAAGTTGATTCGAATCGGGATTTAGAAGTCTGTATCCCTTCGACTCATCGCTATAGCCAATAAACAGATACTTCCTTCCCTTCTTGTCGAACTTTTCTCGATGTACAGCTGGTATATGGGCATAGGCGATGCTGCCAAAAATTCTCAAGTTATCAACAACTGGTTTTCTTTTGTTCCAGGCTTCAAACGGAGTGCGATTTCGAACGGCTTTTGTCGGAGACCTGTTCAATATATAAACGGCAGTGTTGACAGCCTCTGCCCATAAATTATTTGGTAGGCCTTTGAATGTTAACATGCTCCTCGCCATCTCGACAACCGTACGATTTTTTCGTTCGGCCACTCCATTTTGCTGCGGGCTACGACTTACAGTGACCTGCCTCGTAATGCCATTTTCTTTGCAATGGTTCATAAACGGAGAATAAATAAATTCTCCCCCACGATCAGTCCGGAGAGTCTTCATTTGATGTCCACTTTGCCTCTCTGCCATTGCTTTGAAGTGGAGAAAAACCGAAAAAGCTTCCGATTTTTCTTGCAAAAAATACACCCACATCATTCTACTAAAATCATCAATAAAAAGAATGAAATACCTTTTTTGGTTGAAAGTTGGGGTCCGAACAGGACCACAAATATCCGAGTGAACCAATTCGAGAGGAGCTTTAGCACGCCAAGAGGTTTTCGGAAAAGGTAACCGGTGTATTTTTCCAAATACGCAGCCTTCACATACTTTCTCTTCTCCTTTGATATCCGGGAGCCCGATAACCATTTTCTTTTGCTTCAAAATATGCAGCCCTTTCATATTCAAATGTCCGTATCTCAAATGCCAAAGAACATCATGAATAAGCTTTTTCGTACCTCCCTTGCTGTAGACATAAATAGTTCCCTTTCCTTGAACACTTCGCATTTTTCCGTCGCCAAGTTTCACTTGAGAGGCGAAGTTAGCGTTAAGTTGCTCAAAATGGTTTCGGTTCCCCGTCATGTGGTTGCTACAACCACTATCGAGATACCAAACCTCTAACGACTCATGTTCGGCATTCAAGCACGTATAAAAGAGTTTTTCATCACTCTCTTCTTCGATAAAATTTGCTTCTGTAGAGTTCTTCTTTTGAAACCAACAGTCCCTTTGTGAATGATTGGGGATTTTACATCTCTCGCACTTGAATCGACAATCTCTTGAGTTATGATTCGTTTTGTTGCAAATAATGCAGAAAGGTCCATCACCCGATCTTTGCGGCTGCTCTTTGAACTTCTCCTTTGCTAGTTCATTTCCCTGTCGTCCTCGTCCAAATTGATTCTTGTGAAACGAGTACTTTCTTTGGTGCGATGTGTTACCTGGTTTTCGAGAAATGGCGACTTTTGATTGAAAAGCTTGCTCGACGGGCTGATTCGTCGACCGATTAATCCTTTGTTCGTGGGCTTGCAACGAACTCATTAATTCATGCATTGTCATTTTTGACAGGTCTTTCGACTCTTCGATGGCTGCTACACAATGGTCGAATCTGGCCGGTAGACTTCTAAGAATCTTCTCGATTACTTTCTTATCTTGGATGGTGTCGCCAAGACTTTCAATATGATTCACAATTTCGGAGACTCGCGTGAAAAAATCTGAAATTTTTTCACTTTCTTTCATCGATAAGTTATCAAAATTTCTCCATAAAGATTGCAGTCTTATGGAGATGACTTTATCATTTCCTCGAAACTCTTTCTGCAAAACACTCCAAGCATCTTTTGCTTTTCTTTTGTTGAAGATGCGAGGGTAGATTGATTTGCTTACTCCTTGCTTAATGTATCGAAGAGCCGTGCAATCTTTCTTTTGATTTTCTTTGTACTCTTGTTGCTTCTCTTTTGTCCAGGTTGCGGAGGTTGCATTTTCTGGTGGTTCTTCATAGTCCATCTCAATCACATCCCAAAGATCATGGGAGATGAAAAAATCCCTCATTTCGCTACTCCAATAATCGTAATGTTCTCCCTCAAAGATTGGTACTTCACTTGGGGAATATTTGAACATAGTGGTGACTGAATTTCCAGCCATTTTTTTTTAAGATTGATAGGAACCACAAAGTGGCTCTGATGCCAAATTTGTTGGCACAGCGGAAGATCGATAAAATGGATTTGCCCTTTGATATGGAAGAATATTGATGGTAAAGAAGACAAAGAAGATGAACAAACAAGAATGGATTTTTAGGGAACAATTGAGCTGCTGCTCTTTTAATTGGTTTTTCTTGATATTCCAAATACTAGTACATGAAGTATTTAAAAAGAAGATAAGTCTCCAGAGAATTCTCCACATTAATGATGGAAGATGAAACGTGCTATTCTAGATAATTGTAAAATATTAATTTTTGAGATTACCAATTAACTTTTAACAATTACACTGTGATGCTAATCTATCCCAAGAGCGTGTACTAAAGCACATAATAAGGCTGCAAGGATGATTACCAAACCAAAACGGCTATAGTCGTATATAGTTCAGTTGGTCTCGAAACTTGCCACTATGCTATAGTGGCTGTGTCTTATGCCACTGTTACTCGGTTTCAGAGCCAGAAAGGCCGAAAGAATTAAAAAGAAAAAAAGTTCAAAACACAATCTCATAATATAATCCGTGAATAAAACTGCAAGAAATCAAGAAATATAAAGAGAGCAGAAAAGAGTGGAAACGTGGTAGTTATTGGGAGTTTTAGAACGTGAGATCAACTGAAACCAAAACGGTTGTTGGAAAAAAAAAAAAAAAAAAGTTGGGAGACGATGTCAGTGGCGGCGAAAATTGTGGAAGAATGAGGGTTCCTTCGATCCTACACCCGGTGAAAAACACCGGGTAGGTTTTCTGCTGCCACGTGTTCTTTTTTTTTATTTTTCTAAAACCCCTAAAGGTAAACCCTAGCGGGGAATTTATTATGAAATACAAAAAAAGAGACACGTGGCAGCAGAAGACCCACCCGGTGTTTTTCACCGGGTGTAGGGTCGAACAAATCAAGAATGAGAATGGGAATAGGCGGCTTTTACATCGTGTGAATGTTTCTCCTGTCGTGGGGCTTATGCAATATCTATAGAGTAAAAACCGTCGAGAAAAACACAAAAATGGTATTAGGGTTTCGGGGCAAAACCTTTCTTTTATATATAAAGATATATAAAGATAAAGCCAAATTTAATGTATATGATAAAATAACACCCAACCATTTAAACTCAATTCCTAATTGTAATCCCAATTTAATTTTAATTTTATCAATTTAGACAAAAAAAAAAAAAAATTCAATTTCGACTTTTTTATTTTTTTATTTTTTTAATTTGCCATTTGTTTCTGGCGTTGACCGGCAGTCACACAGGTCTCTGGCGTTAACTTTTATTTTCCTTGTTTTTTCTGCCACCGGTTTCCGACGATGAATGGCGGTCAATATCGGTCTTCGGTGATTTGTTTAGTTAATTTATTTTTCTATTATAAAAAAATAATTATAAGTAGTATATTTTTTATTTTTAATTACATTCCAACCCCAAAAAAATAAAATTTAAATTTTGGCCCCAAAAATAGTGTTTTCCGTTACTTGGTAACGGGCATGTGATGGCGGGGATCGGAAGTGTTTAAAATTGAACCTGAAGGTGAACTTTGTTCACTTTGGAATAATGGTATCTCTTTTAAGTTAATTAAGTTTAAATAATAAATGGTAGAATACCATGTACCAACCATATCATAGCAAAATTAACGGTATACCGAATATTGGTATACCGAAATGTTTGGTATGGTAACGGTATGACAATACCGTAAGTTACGGTTGGTAGACGGTATTCGACCAAAAGTTAGACAACCGTACCGAACCCATCCCCAATTGGACTTGTCGGTTCATGGTTCAGCCGTATTTTTTTAAATTTTATATGTTAAATATAATTTCATTCAACACTACTATATGTTATAACGAAATGCTAATAAAAAATATATGTTATAAATATTACAAAAATCCCCACATAATGCATTTTTTTTATCAGTCAATTCCCCTGATAATATATTTTAGTAATAATTTGCTACTAAACTTGATTTCATTTAACTATTAAATTCAACAAGGAGTGCCGAATGCAATTAACCCGATTTTTTTCCTATCTCAATTGTTTAAGTATTTATCATGATATCAAGTTCAATCTCTCTCATATCTTAGTAGTAGGAACATTAGCAAGAAAATATCCAAAGAAAAACAGAGTTTATTATCAAGTGTGCCAAAAAAAAAAAATAATAGATCCCCATAAAACTAGTACATTAAAAGATAAATCAAGAATCTCGAATACTCATAAAGGGGATTCCCTAGATACAAGACGAAAATTACTGCACGTACATCGGTTAAAGGCCGAGTGGATTGATTTGTTAGACGGAAGCACGAGAAATGTGCACATCCATTAAAGCAGTTGCGGATTGTAGCGAATCGGGATTGAGCTCAAAACGACAAATATCTCCGTTCTTGAGTTGGTTTGATACATAAAAAGCGTGCCAACCTTTCCACATGACGAGGCGGAATGGGCCGATTTTTTGAAGCCCGAGTTCCTCCGGCCATGGTCTTTTACGAGGATCTCGTAAAGTTACACTAGATTTATCACATAGATTGTTTGACCTTGCAAATTCTGCTGGGATATTCTGAAATATTAATGCAAGCCGAATGGTTAATAAACAATCAATACTAAGTTTCAAAATACGAAAAAGGTGATAAATTTACTCACCACTCTGGCTTTTTCATGAGCAAAAGACGGTTTCATTGTCAAGACAAAGTGTGGGTTTCGGGTGTTGTTTTCATGGCGCTCGTTCTTCGGCTCGAAGGGAAACTCCTTTTCGCACGCAGTGTGATCAAACACGGAAACGTTGAAGTGAAAGTTACCGGTGTGTTCAAACACTACAAAGTCTCCGATACTCAAACCATGGTCACGGACAAATTGAGGCCATCCATTTTCGAAAGATATTAGCCCTTCGCCGTTTCTGCACACATCGATCTTCCATTTCCCTATACGACTTTTCAAGATCGCCCGTTTCGATTTCTCTTCTTTTAGCTTATTGCAAAAAGATGATGGCAGGTTCTTATATTACAGGCGAACAATAAGAAAAAAAATGACAAGTCATATTTGGGATCATGTGTTTCTTGATATATGCATATATCTAATGGTTATAAAACTTATATCAGCAACAAATTAAAATGCAGTCATCTTCAAATTGAATGAATACAAACAATATTAATTAAAGAAAGATGCTCACGAAATTATTCTGAAAACCGGGCGCTATCACGTTGAAAAAATGCCTTGATATTATTTCTCCTTCCATTTTATCAGTACACCAGAAACCAAATATGTAGAAAGTTGCTGTAATAATATATATATATATATATATCTATGTGAAAAAAGTGTTGCTGCCTGTAATAATATTGTTCTCGGCTAGCTGTAATAGTATTTGCCTTTGTGAACAGCAAAAGTCAATAATAATAGAGGGGCAAAGAAGTAAAATACGGAATGACCTTTCTCGATAAAAGTTGGGGAAACTACAGATAAATCCCTAATCCAAAACTTGAAACACAGATCAGTCCCTAGGTAGTTTGCCCTAGCATTTCAGTCCCTACTCACACGCCTAACATGCAGATCAGTCCCTAATAAAATGTGCAAATACGAAAATACCCTTTACTTTATACTAATTTTACATAACTTCTTTTCAACTTCCAACGCGCCGTTTGTATTACACGCTCTTTGCCCGTTACATTTCAAAAATCAAACAACAAAAAAGAAGCTAAAAAGGCGCAGAAAAAACCACCGTTCAGTAATACCCATTTTCAGACCAAGAAGAAACGAAGAAGAAACGAAGAAGAAACGCAACAGAGAAACAACAAAGAAGGAAGAAATTACGAAACACGAAGAATCAACAAACCGCAGAAAAATAGTATAAACAAACCCATTTATAAACAATGGTGAAGCAGGGTAAACAACAAGGTTTGATTTTTTATTTTTTTTTCATTTTCTTGGAAACAGACCCATTTGGGTGTTGCTTAAGCAGGGCAAAAAGGTTTATTTGTTATAGAATTGCATGATTTTGAACATATCCACTCATGGGTATTATGCCTCGACTTTATTCGGTGTTTGCCCTAATCATTAAATCGGTTCCAATATTTGTTGTTCTGTTGTTTGGGTTTGCAAAGATCATTTATTTGTTGTCGAATTTCATGATTTTGTAACAGTTTTCTCATGGGTATTATTCTTCGGTGACATTAGCATGTCCCCAAAGCATTTTGAGTCCTAACAAGGGTTTCATATAGGATATGGGAAAGAGGCTTATTGTATTTTTCGTACTGGTTCTATAGTATGTGTCATGCGCAGTAATGGTATTAATAGTGCATTTAGATGGTATAATCTTTGATGGTTCTGTAGCATGTGTCATATGCCACAATAGTATTACCAGTGACTTTGAATGGTATTACTAGTGACTTCGGATGGTATTGACATGTGGTACTAGAAGTATAACGTTGATGGTCCTGTAGTATAAGTCATATGCCATAATAGTATTACTAGTGCCTTTGAATGGTATTACTTGTGACTTCGGATGGTATTGACTTGTGGTACTAGAAGTATAATGTTTGATGGTCCTGTAGTATAAGTCATATGCCATAATAGTATTACCAGTGCCTTTGAATAGTATTACTAGTGATTTCGGATGGTATTGACATGTGGAACTTTATAGTACGTTGTATTTGTTATAATTGTATTTGTTTTATGTGTATGTAATTGCAGGAATTGTTGTAAAAGAAGATTGCAGCAAGCTATCAATAGGCTGCAGGTGCTCACCGATCGCTTTTCACCTAACTATGGAAGGTGTGAAAAAAGTGATGAAGAAACAACATCATGAAGTACTGAAGAAAAATCCCTTCTATCACTACATGGACATGCCTAAAATAAACCACAGCTTCCATAGGGTTGTGTCTCTCATGCAAGCGTACAATCCAGAAGATCGGGCCTTCTGGTTTGGGGGAAATACTATACGCTTGGAATTCACTCCGCAGCAATTATCTATCGTATTAGGGCTGCAGTACGAAGGCGTACCGGTGGATATGAATATGGATGGCAGAGACACTGATTTCATCACACGTATTTTTGATGGTAAGTTATCTTTAATGACGAGGCCATATATTGGTTATAAACTGGAGGCCTATGCAGTTATGACCGATCAACAATCTGTTGAAGATTTCAGCAGATTGTACACTATTTATCTGTTTAATACTATTCTACTGCCAAAGGGGAACAAAACGTTAGAAAGGTGGGTTTATCCGCATGTAGAAGATTTGGAGGTTTTAGGGTCTTTTGCATGGGGAAAGTTGGTGTATGATATTCTTGTTGAGAATATGGAGGGGTATCTGAAGGGGGGTTGAAGTATTTTGATGGATGCACTATCGGCTTATTGGTAAGTGATATCTAATAGTGAATATATATTATGTTATATTGAATATACCAATTAATATTGATTCCAAAATACGCAGGCATGGGTGCATGAAAGGATCACGTCACTAGGGGTTAGCACCAGTGTTTACAAATTTCCCCGGTTCTTCCGGTGGCAAGACAGCAAAATCCCAATCGATGAAGAAGCAGCTAGGTTGCTTTTTGATCAGATAAAACAAGTGCAGGTAACACTTTGAGTTACAAAATATATAATGTATTAGGTATTTGCTAACAAATTTTTTACGTTTATTAGGTTATACCATTTTCTGTGTACCCGAAAGAGAAAGCGTTGCTTTCTCCGGTTTTGGAAGTAATTTCTGGTCCAGTTGTTGGAATTAGTGCTGACAGATTTGTGGAAATAAGTTCTGAGAGTAGTGAAGATGAGCTTGGAGACGTGGAAGCAACATCTGTAAGTCATTAATACAATAAACCCTAAAATTCATACTTCCATTCCCATTGGAACATACTATATGTCAACTAATATAATACTATGGTATAACATGTTTCGTACTATTGTTTTTTTTAGTTGCAGCAGATGAAGAATAACTTAAAAAGGAAGAGGGGGAATGTAACAGAAGAAAAAAATAAAGAAAAAAAAATGCAGAGTAAGAGAAAGAAAGAAAAGGAGATAGAGAAAGAGAAGGAGATAGAGATAGAGAAAGAGCAGGAGAAAGAGAAGGAGAAAGAGAAAGAGACAGAGACAGAAAAAGAGAGAGAGACGGAGACAGAGAAAGAGATAGAGATAGAGGCAGAGATAGAGGAAAGGGAAAATGAAGGAGAAAATGAAGGAGGAAAGGGGATGGAAGGTGAAGGAGAACGAAGTGAAGAAAGAGAGAGAAATCAAGGAGACGAAAGTCAAAGTCAAAGTCAAAGGCCAAAGTCAAAGGCCAAAGTTCCACGCGTGCGAGGACGAGGACGAGGACGTGGTCGTAAACAAGTTCCTGTGTCCAAGGTTTCGGTTTCAGTCCCTGGGATCAAGGTATTTTTATCTAATATTAGTATTACATTATTATTATTTTTTGTCATAATTGGTGTGATTTATTCGTTATATAGAATGCCGATTATTACCGGGGAAGAAAGGACTACGTACGTCGTGACCAAATATCCGAAGAAGATAGGATATTGTTGGATCAGTTCTTGGAAAGTGTTGATTTAGGGTAAGAGCACAACCACCTTGATAGTACATGTTAATGTCTTTAATGGTATATGTCAAGTGAATGCATAGTACATGTTGACTGCATGTTATAGTATGTAGTAACTTTGTACATAGTATAAGTTTACTTATACAATGGTACATGTTGACTGCATGTTATAGTATGTAGTAACTTTGTACATAGTATAAGTTTACTTATCCAATAGTACATGTTTACTGCATGTTATAGTATGTAGTAACTTTGTACATAGTACAAGTTTACTTATCCAATAGTACGTGGTTATGTCTTACTGTAGTGAAACTATTGTGGAGAGAGGCCCACATCAATTGACGGGAAGGCATATGTGCGAACTATTATTTGATGAAATGCTGAGTGCAGAACACATAGATTTGTACTTGAATCTATTATGTTCCGAATCTATCATGAACCAACATGGACATGAGATTGATTACCTTGACTCCCCTGCCCAGGTATATAGTGGTTTAACAAATAATTTTGCATACATTACAATGTTTATCTAATATTCTCTATTATGTTTCGTAGCAAGAGTTAATGTCGCGACCTCGGGTGGACGTAGAACGAATGAGCAATGCCGTGTTTGATCGTCTTCTCAATGATTTTACTATTTTTGGAACGATGGCTTTTGACAAGCTAAACACAGCAAATATCTTCAGTAAAACATTTGTCATGATACCTATCAATTCCAGTGAACACTGGTTCCTGCTTGTTCTGAACCCAATAGATAAATGTATTTACCATTGGAACTCCATAGACTATTCTCCGAATTTCCCAGGAATTGCGGATTATGTCGTAAGCCCATATTCTTGTAATTAGTTATTCTTTATTCTTGCGAATTGTTGTAGACTAATATAATATTTTATTTTCGTAGGCCTCGTTTTACAGCAAGGTGGTTGAAAGAAGGTCTGGGTTGGAGATACAATCGGAAGCTAAATGGGTTCATGGATGCAGGCAGCAGGATGGGAACCTTGATTGCGGCTTGTTTGTCTGCATGTGGGCATATTGTCATGCTGTAAACAGTGAAGATATTTGGTTTAAGGCAAAAACTTGCGATATCAAAATACTTCGCCCAAAACTAGCAGCTATCTTTCTGAGGCATCGGGGAGTAGAAGTGGAAGCTAAATATGAAATAGATCTGGCGTTATTGTGAAAAAACTGGGAGTGGAAGTGTTTTGGGGTTCTTGTCTTTTTTGTAATTAATTAATGAACAGGTGAATGTGTTTTTATGCCATAAACAATCTGTCCTTTTGTTGTAGAGCTAATAATACTATTGATTAGCTCTACTCGTACTTTTTCATTGTATACATTGTACTATATGTTTCGATGAAATGTACTTGCCTTTTGAACACATGGTACTTTATTTTGCGATTAATTAGTTTGTATAAAGAATATAAGCGTACCATAAAAATGAGCAACAAATACTTTCTAGTCCATTCGAAGATACCTTGTCAACAATAGACTTGTACTTATTTGATGAACAAAGCGTACTTCACATGTGTATTCACAAAAAACTTACCATAATCGATGTTGATTGACTCCCACATTGTCTCCATTATTGTTTTAGATGATTATTTTAAGGTAGGTGAGCATTATTGTTGCGTTTGGAATACAAGATCCCATAAATATGTTGAATTTCATACATGATACACATATACTATACAATATAGTCATACATTGTCTCCATTCATTCTTAATAGTCTTAAACTGAAGAGATGTGTCTTTAAATGCGATCATATGGATGCATTGGCCTGACAATAATATATAGAGTTTAAATATACTATATGAATGGCAAACATATACTTTATCAGTGAACAAATTGTACTATAGTGACGACTCACTTGTACTTTACCGGCTTATACATTATACTTAATTGGTGAACAAAGCGTACTATATTTTTTGATGAATTGAATTGTACCAATTTCATCGACGTTTTAATGACCAATAAGTACGGGAGTTGCATAAATTATGTTTTAAATGATTATTTTAAGGTAGGTGAGCATTATTGTTGCGTTTGGAATACAAGATCCCATAAATATGTTGAATTTCATACATGATACTCATATACTATACAATATATTCATACAAGTCTACAATGCTCAAGTGTAAAACTAATACTTTCCTCAATTCTTACCATAGTCGATGTTGATCGACTCCCACATTGTCTCCATTCATTCTTAATAGTCTTAAACTGAAGAGATGTGTCTTAAAATGCGATCATATGGATGCATTGGCCCGACAATAATATATAGAGTTTAAAAATACTATATGAATGGAAAACATATACTTTATCAGTGAACAAATTGTACTATAGTGACGACTCACTTGTACTTTACCGGCTTATACATTATACTTAATTGGTGAACAAAGCGTACTATATTTTTTGATGAATTGAATTGTACCAATTTCATCGACGTTTTAATGATCAATAAGTACGGGAGTTGCATAAATTATGTTTTAAATGATTATTTTAAGGTAGGTGAGCATTATTGTTGCGTTTGGAATACAAGATCCCATAAATATGTTGAATTTCATACATGATACTCATATACTATACAATATATTCATACAAGTCTACAATGCTCAAGTGTAAAACTAATATTTTCCTCAATTCTTACCATAGTCGATGTTGATCGACTCCCACATTGTCTCCATTCATTCTTAATAGTCTTAAACTGAAGAGTTGTGTCTTAAAATGCGATCATATGGATGCATTGGCCCGACAATAATATATAGAGTTTAAAAATACTATATGAATGGAAAACATATACTTTATCAGTGAACAAATTGTACTATAGTGACGACTCACTTGTACTTTACCGGCTTATACATTATACTTAATTGGTGAACAAAGCGTACTATAGTCACGAATAACCTGAACTTTACCAGCTTATACATTGTACTCTATTTATCTGTTTAATACTATTCTACTGCCAAAGGGGAACAAAACGTTAGAAAGGTGGGTTTATCCGCATGTAGAAGATTTGGAGGTTTTAGGGTCTTTTGCATGGGGAAAGTTGGTGTATGATATTCTTGTTGAGAATATGGAGGGGTATCTGAAGGGGGGGTTGAAGTATTTTGATGGATGCACTATCGGCTTATTGGTAAGTGATATCTAATAGTGAATATATATTATGTTATATTGAATATACCAATTAATATTGATTCCAAAATACGAAATACGCAGGCATGGGTGCATGAAAGGATCACGTTACTAGGGGTTAGCACCAGTGTTTACAAATTCCCCCGGTTCTTCCGGTGGCAAGACAGCAAAATCCCAATCGATGAAGAAGCAGCTAGGTTGCTTTTTGATCAGATAAAACAAGTGCAGTAATACTTTGAGTTACAAAATATATAATGTATTAGGTATTTGCTAACAATTTTTTTACGTTTATTAGGTTATACCATTTTCTGTGTACCCGAAAGAGAAAGCGTTGCTTTCTCCGGTTTTGGAAGTAATTTCTGGTCCAGTTGTTGGAATTAGTGCTGACAGATTTGTTGAAATAAGTTCTGAGAGTAGTGAAGATGAGATTGGAGACGTGGAAGCAACACCTGTAAGTCATTAATACAATAAACCCTAAACTTCATACTTCCGTTCACATTGGAACATACTATATGTCAACTAATATAATACTATTGTATAACATGTTTCGTACTATTGTTTTTTTTAGTTGCAGCATAAGAAGAATAACATAAAAATGAAGAGGGGGAATGTAACAAAAGAAGAAAATAAAGAAAAAAAAATGCAGAGTAAGAGAAAGAAAGAAAAGGAGATAGAGAAAGAGAAGGAGATAGAGATATGGAAAGAGCAGAAGAAAGAGAAAGAGACAGAGAGAGAGAATGAGAGAGAGACAGAAAAAGAGAGAGAGACAGAAGAAGAGAGAGAGACAGAGACAGAGAAAGAGATAGAGATAGAGGCAGAGATAGAGATAGAGGAAAGGGAAAAAGAAGGAGAAAAAAATGTAGTAGAGGGGATGGAAGGTGAAGGAGAACGAAGTGAAGAAAGAGAGAGAAATCAAGGAGACGAAAGTCAAAGTCAAAGGCCAAAGTCAAAGGCCAAAGTTCCACGCGTGCGAGGACGAGGACGAGGACGTGGTCGTAAACAAGTTCCTGTGTCCAAGGTTTCGGTTTCAGTCCCTGGGATCAAGGTATTTATGATTATATTAGTATTACATTATTATTATTTTTTGTCATAATTGGTGTGATTTATTCGTTGTATAGACTGCCGATTATTACCGGGGAAGAAAGGACTACGTACGTCGTGACCAAATATCCGAAGAAGATAGGATATTGTTGGATCTGTTCTTGGAAAGTGTTGATTTAGGGTAAGAGCACCACCACCTTGATAGTACATGTTAATGTCTTTAATGGTATATGTCAAGTGAATACATAGTACATGTTGACTGCATGTTATAGTATGTAGTAACTTTGTACATAGTATAAGTTTACTTATCCAATAGTACATGTTGACTGCATGTTATAGTATGTAGTAACTTTGTACATAGTATAAGTCTACTTATCCAATAGTATATGTTGACCACATGTTATAGTATGTAGTAACTTTGTACATAGTACAAGTTTACTTATCCAATAGTACGTGGTTATGTCTTACTGTAGTGAAACTATTGTGGAGAGAGGCCCACATCAATTGACGGGAAGGCATATGTGCGAACTATTATTTGATGAAATGCTGAGTGCAGAACACATAGATTTGTACTTGAATCTATTATGTTCCGAATCTATCATGAACCAACATGGACATGAGATTGATTACCTTGACTCCCCTGCCCAGGTATATAGTGGTTTAACAAATAATTTTGCATACATTACAATGTTTATCTAATATTCTCTATTATGTTTCGTAGCAAGAGTTAATGTCGCGACCTCGGGTGGACGTAGAACGAATGAGCGATGCCGTGTTTGATCGTCTTCTCAATGATTTTACTATTTTTGGAACGATGGCTTTTGACAAGCTAAACACAGCAAATATCTTCAGTAAAACATTTGTCATGATACCTATCAATTCCAGTGAACACTGGTTCCTGCTTGTTCTGAACCCAATAGATAAATGTATTTACCATTGGAACTCCATAGACTATTCTCCGAATTTCCCAGGAATTGCGGATTATGTCGTAAGCCCATATTCTTGTAATTAGTTATTCTTTATTCTTGCGAATTGTTGTAGACTAATATAATATTTTATTTTCGTAGGCCTCGTTTTACAGCAAGGTGGTTGAAAGAAGGTCTGGGTTGGAGATACAATCGGAAGCTAAATGGGTTCATGGATGCAGGCAGCAGGATGGGAACCTTGATTGCGGCTTGTTTGTCTGCATGTGGGCATATTGTCATGCTGTAAACAGTGAAGATATTTGGTTTAAGGCAAAAACTTGCGATATCAAAATACTTCGCCCAAAACTAGCAGCTATCTTTCTGAGGCATCGGGGAGTAGAAGTGGAAGCTAAATATGAAATAGATCTGGCGTTATTGTGAAAAAACTGGGAGTGGAAGTGTTTTGGGGTTCTTGTCTTTTTTGTAATTAATTAATGAACAGGTGAATGTGTTTTTATGCCATAAACAATCTGTCCTTTTGTTGTAGAGCTAATAATACTATTGATTAGCTCTACTCGTACTTTTTCATTGTATACATTGTACTATATGTTTCGATGAAATGTACTTGCCTTTTGAACACATGGTACTTTATTTTGCGATTAATTAGTTTGTATAAAGAATATAAGCGTACCATAAAAATGAGCAACAAATACTGTCTAGTCCATTCGAAGATACCTTGTCAACAATAGACTTGTACTTATTTGATGAACAAAGCGTACTTCACATGTGTATTCACAAAAAACTTACCATAATCGATGTTGATTGACTCCCACATTGTCTCCATTATTGTTTTAGATGATTATTTTAAGGTAGGTGAGCATTATTGTTGCGTTTGGAATACAAGATCCCATAAATATGTTGAATTTCATACATGATACACATATACTATACAATATAGTCATACATTGTCTCCATTCATTCTTAATAGTCTTAAACTCAAGAGTTGTGTCTTAAAATGCGATCATATGGATGCATTGGCCCGACAATAATATATAGAGTGTAAAAATACTATATGAATGGCAAACATATACTTTATCAGTGAACAAATCGTACTATAGTGTCGACTCACTTGTACTTTAACGGCTTAAACATTATACTTAATTGGTGAACAAAGCGTACTATATTTTTTGATGAATTGAATTGTACCAATTTCATCGACGTTTTAATGATCAATAAGTACGGGAGTTGCATAAATTATGTTTTAAATGATTATTTTAAGGTAGGTGAGCATTATTGTTGCGTTTGGAATACAAGATCCCATAAATATGTTGAATTTCATACATGATACTCATATACTATACAATATATTCATACAAGTCTACAATGCTCAAGTGTAAAACTAATACTTTCCTCAATTCTTACCATAGTCGATGTTGATCTACTCCCACATTGTCTCCATTCATTCTTAATAGTCTAAAACTGAAGAGTTGTGTCTTAAAATGCGATCATATGGACGCATTGGCCCGACAATAATATATAGAGTGTAAAAATACTATATGAATGGCAAACATATACTTTATCAGTGAACACATGGTACTATAGTGACGACTCACTTGTACTTTACCAGCTTATACATTATACTTAATTGGTTAACAAAGCGTACTATATTTTTTGGTGAATTGAATTGTACCAATTTCATCGACGTTTTAATGATCAGTAAGTACGGGAGATGCATAAATTATGTTTTAGATGATTATTTTAAGGTAGGTGAGCATTATTGTTGCGTTTGAATACAAGATCCCATAAATATGTTGAATTTCATACATGATACTCATATACTATACAATATATTCATACAAGTCTACAATGCTCAAGTGTAAAACTAATACTTTCCTCAATTCTTACCATAGTCGATGTTGATCTACTCCCACATTGTCTCCATTCATTCTTAATAGTCTAAAACTGAAGAGTTGTGTCTTAAAATGCGATCATATGGACGCATTGGCCCGACAATAATATATAGAGTGTAAAAATACTATATGAATGGCAAACATATACTTTATCAGTGAACAAATCGTACTATCGTGACGACTCACTTGTACTTTACCAGCTTATACATTATACTTAATTGGTTAACAAAGCGTACTATAAATGCTGAAGAACCCGAACTTTACCAGCTTATACATTGTACTCTTATGTTCACTAATTAAACAACAGTACATAGGTTTTACATAGCATGTAGACTGCAAATATTACTAGATTCAACACTATCAAACTATGAACTACTCCACCTTCAGAATTGCAATTCTTCACTTCACTTTCTTGATGGACTTGGTTCATCGACGCACTTGTAGCTTCATTTTCTTCACGATTTGAGTTGGAAAAAGTTTGCCCAACTTCAAATGGTTCACACCAATGGGAGTAGCCATGGTGTGGGCAACAGTAAAATAACCTTCCGGGATTCGAAATAGTTTCTGAAACCATGATTATTGTTTTCTTCCCACAATCAAGACGCTTGCATTTCCCTTTTTTGTATTTTAACCCACTCATTTCCCTTTGAGTGGTGCTACTAGAAGAAGCCATGAATTAGAAACAAATGAGCCTATGTGTCATTTATGGTCATATTATGACTTGACTAGTTCTGACAATAAGCAACGGCTATATTATAAGCAACGGCTATATTGTAACGGTCATAAATTGAGTAAGTCATACCATCCTATCTCATAGATAATACCATGCGTAAATCAAATCAGTACCTGTATACTGAAAATGATAAACCATCAAGCAGCAACAAGCATACCATCATATCGCATATCTAATACCATGTGTAAATAAAAATAGTACTATTAGACTGAAAATGATAAACCATCAACCAACAATAGGCATACCATCCTATCTCATATCCAATACCATGTGTAAATAAAAATAGTACCATTAGACTGAAAATGATAAACCATCAATGAACAGAGTACCTAATACATAGTACAAACTACAAATAGCAAAAACATAGTGCAAATTGAAACATAGTACAAAGTTCAAAACAACATAGTGCAAATCACATAATAATAAAGTACAAACAGCCAGTTTTCATTCACTTCAATCACTTGAATAACATAATGGGCAATCATGTAAGCTCTCCTCCATCTTGTCCTCCCTGATGAAAAACATAAAATTTACATTAGAAACAAGACTAGTTAGTTTAATTAACACAAATGCAGACAGTATTTACATTAAAAAAAATTGCTAGTCAGATTGGTTGTGTGCAAGTACGACGATTGTGTCCAGGCTTCCCACACCGAGTACAATTCAGTTTACGAGTTTGCACTTATGAAGGAATTCTTTTTGTCTTTCTACGTCCCGGTCGAGTTCTCGAATCAGGTGCATTAACAAAGACATCGGGCGGAGCATTACACGCATCGTACAAGTCAAAGTCCTCATCAAACGAGGGAATTGGGTTAATCGTGAATTGATATACCTGTTTGTACGTATCAATATGAAAGCATGGATCCACAAACTCATATACTGAGTATCCTTTTGACTCCAAACATGCACATGCATGTTTGCATGGAAGTTTCTCTAATTGCCATGCTTTACAAGAACAAGTCTTCTGCTGCAAGTCAACCTTATACGACTTGTCCTCATCATATACCTCAAAAGCGGTACTACTTGATCTACAATATTTTAAGGAACGAGAGGCCATATGATTGATTGTTAATCTCTTTAGAATTTTCTTGCACAATATGCCAGTCATTGCCAAACTTTTTCCTTGTCGTTTAACTAGCATCTCCATTATTTTGATCCGTATGTGATCAATCATGGATGGAACAGGCAAAGATCGGGCATCTTTAACCCAACCATTCCAATTTTCTGCCTGATTATTGTTCACGATTCCCCATCTTTCTCCAGAAAAATAGGCATTCGCCCAATGATTTGGATCAGAATTCGAAATAAATGATGTCGCGAGAGGCATAGATTGCACTATACGAGAAATAGTTGCATCGAACTCCTGCCGAGTAGGAGCATATGCAGCATTATGTAAAACACTCGCCCAATATGACTTGTTGTGCAATGGGTACTTCCTCAGGACCTATATTATTTTGAAACATGTTATACAAATGTATGAAACATGCTATACAAATGTATGAAACATGCTATACAAATGTATGAAATGTGTTATACAAAAGTATGACACATGTTACACAAATGTATGAAACATGTTATACAAAAGTATGAAACATGTTATACAAAAGTATGACATGAGGTGACAAATGGTACGTTCCAATTTGCATATTAAAGAGAATCAAAATACCTGAGTTCTAAAGTTATCCACCAAGTGTCGCAAACAATATGCATGGTGGCTACTAGGAAATACCATCGGGACGGCTTTAAGAAGCCCCGAATGACGATCAGAGAAAATGGTAAAAGATCTA